AAGACACTTGATAAGATTTTTCAATGAGTACATACCTTGACGAGATTTTTGAAGTAGTTCAAAATGGAATAGTCAAACAATTCTTGTGTGTATTACAAGGTGTAAAGTTGAGTAAGACTCAAAACACGACCATGACAGAAAATAGAAAGAGAATGAAAGTCATTCCCTATGCCCCAGCCATAGGTTCTATAAAGTATGCTATGTTGTGTACCAAACCTATTGTGTACCTTGCCATGAGTTTGGCAAGGGGGTGTGATATTGATCCAGGAGTGGATCACTTGACAGCGGTCAAAATTATCCTTAGAAAACTAAGGAGATATTTCTCGGTTATGGAGGTGATAAAGAGTTCGTCATAAAGAGTTACGCCGATGCAAGCTGTTACACCAATCCAGATGACTCTGAGTCTCAATCTAGATACATATTGAAAGTGGGAGCAATTAGCTAGAGTAGCTCCATGCAGAGCATTGTAGACATAGAAATTTTGCAAAATACATACGGCTCTGAATGTGACAGACCCATTGAATAAGCTTCTCTCACAAGCAAAACATGATCACACCTTAGTACTCTTTGGGTGTTAATCACATAGCGATGTGAACTAGATTATTGACTCTAGTAAAACCCTTTGGGTATTAGTCACATGGCGATGTAAACTAATCACATGGTGATGTGAACTATTGGTGTTAAATCACATGGAGATGTGAACTAGATTATTGACTCTAGTGCAAGTGGGAGACTGAAGGAAATATGCCCTAGAGGCAATAATAAAGTTGTTATTTATATTTCCTTATATCATGATAAATGTTTATTATTCATGCTAGAATTGTATTAACCGGAAACTTAGTACATGTGTGAATACATGGGCAAAACAGAGTGTCCCTAGTATGCCTCTACTTGACTAGCTCGTTAATCAAAGATGGTTATGTTTCCTGACCATAGACATGTGTTGTCATTTGATGAACGGGATCACATCATTAGAGAATGATGTGACGGACAAGACCCATCCGTTAGCTTAGCATAATGATCGTTTAGTTATATTGCTATTGCTTTCATCATGACTTATACATGTTCCTCTGACTATGAGATTATGCAACTCCCGAATAGCGGAGGAACACCTTGTGTGCTATCAAACGTCACAACGTAACTGGGTGATTATAAAGATGCTCTACAGATGTCTTCGAAGGTGTTTGTTGGGTTGGCATAGATCGAGATTAGAATTTGTCACTCCGTGTATCGGAGAGGTATCTTTGGGCCATGTCGGTAATGCACATCACTATAAGCCTTGCAAGCAATGTGACTAATGAGTTAGTCACGGGATGATGCATTACGAAACGAGTAAAGAGACTTGCCGGTAACGAGATTGAACTAGGTATGATGATACCGACGATCGAATCTCGGGCAAGTAACATACCGATGACAAAGGGAACAACGTATGTTGTTATGCGGTTTGATCGATAAAGATCTTCATAGAATATGTAGGAGCTAATATCAGCATCCAGGTTCCGCTATTGGTTATTGACCGGAGATGTGTCTCGGTCATATCTACATAGTTCTCGAACCCGTAGGGTCCGCACGCTTAACGTTCAACGACGATTTGTATTATGAGTTATGTGATTTGATGACCGAAGTTTGTTGGGAGTCCCGGATGATATCACAGACATGACGAGGAGTCTTGAAATGGTCAAGACGTAAAGGTAGATATATTGGAAGGCTATATTCGGACATCGAAAAGGTTCTGAGTGGTTCGGGTATTTTTCGGAGTTCCGGAGAGTTACGGGAATTCGCCGGGGGGGGGGAGTATTGAGCCTTCATGGGCCTTAGTGGAAAGGAGAGAAGGGCCAAAAGGGGAGGGCCCCCCTCCATGGGCTTGTCCGAATTGGACTAGGGAGGGGGCGGCTCCCCCCTCTTTCCTTCTCCCTCTCCTACTCCTTCCCTCTCTCCCCTCTTGGAAAAGGAAGGGGACTCCAACTAGGATTGGGAATCCTAGTTAGACTCCCCCCTATAGGAGCGCCCCTCCTAGGCCGGCCTTCTCTCCCCCCTACTTTATATACGTGGACAGGGGGCACCCCAAAGACACACAAGTTGATCTTTAGCCGTGTGCGGTGCCCCCCTACACAGTTTTACACCTCGATCATATTGTCGTAGTGCTTAGGCGAAGCCCTGCGTTGGTAACTTCATCACCACCGTCAACACGCCAGCGTGCTGACGAAACTCCCCCTCGGCCTCAGCTGGATCAAGAGTACGAGGGACGTCACCGAGCTGAACGTGTGCAGATGACGGAGGTGTCGTGCGTTCGGCACTTGATCGGTTGGATCATGAAGACGTTCGACTACATCAACCGCGTTACTAAACGCTTCTGCTTTCGGTCTACGAGGATGCATGGACACACTCTCCCCGCGCATTGCTATGCTTCTCCTGGATAGATCTTGCATGCTCGTAGGATATTTTTGAAATACTACGTTCCCCAACAGGATGTACTTATGACCGGAAATGATTTGGCCTGTATAATTGTATTTTTTAGCATAATTGTACGTATAACCGTATTTGATCGCTCGCCGATCGCACACGACCTCATTTTGCCGAGCGTGTGTGCCAGGAGGGCATATCCCCGACGGTTTCTAGGTCGTGTGGGAAGAATCCCCCCCCCCCTATTGCAGTCACTCACTAGGCGACGGTTCAGAACGCCGTCACGGAAAGGGGTTAAAAACCGTTTGTATAGCACCTCGTTGTATCAATGTTAGGAACTTTTGGTGGACAGGTGTTAGAGAGAATCCTTCAACAAGAGTTTTATGTCTAAGAGCTTGGGCTGATATAGGTATTGAAAAGAAGAAAGGTGGCTTAGGTGTTCGAAATCTACAGGCTATAAATCAAAGTCTTATTCTGTCAGCAGCTTGGAGATTAGCAAAGGAACCCCAAAGTTACATCTCTCTTATCCTCAAGGCCAAGTATCATAGTGACACATCAATTTGGAGAGTTAAACACAATGTTTCCAAATCAGCCTTCTGGACTGCTATCCTGAAGGTCGGACCTCTTCTCATTTCTGCCTCCTTTTATCAATTGGTAGATGGTAGTAGTTCCATATGGAGTACTCCTTGGTTTTCCCAGTGGCAAAATATTTATGAGAATCTTATAATCCAGCAGCCACCTTACTCTTATCCAGCTATTCTTAGTGATATTTGGTTTCCTAATCAGAAAGTTTGGAACATCCATCTTGTCAACGCTCTGTTTCATCCTCATGTTGCTCAAGCTATACTACAAACCCCTATTGTTAATACTACTAGAAAATATGTGTTGGTTTGGAGACTAACCCCTACAGGTGACCACTCTTCGAAAAGTGCCTACAAGCACTGCTTCAATAATCTAGTACTACCAGCAAATCAGAGACCAAAATCTGTTCCAAAGCAGATTGTAAATCTTCTCAATCAGGTTTGGAGGGACAAACTCTGGAGCCAAGAGTTCAAACTTTCGCATGGAGACTTCTTCACCGAGCACTTCTAACGGGTAAGCGTGCAAGTAAGTTCTCGAAACACATTAGTGATAATTGTACTAGATGTTGCAACCAAGAGGATGAAATGCACATGCTTTTTCTAGGGCCTTTCTCAAAGGCTGCTTGGTTCTCATCTCCTTGGTATATTAGAACAGAAGCTTTGACTGAACATAATCATTCCATTCCACAAATGATTAAGGTTTTATTGGATTCGGCTCATCCCCATATCAATGTAACTAGTGTATTCACTTTCTTGTGGTGCCTTTGGAAAGCACAAAATGATGCCCCATTTGGTAGAAAATGTTGTCAACCATCACAGGTATACCTGGTGACGAATGCGATCTTACAGGCCCAAAGCTTAAGGAGGTGATGTCATGACAAGATCAATGCTCAACAACTGTTGTAGTACGACATCCAATAATCATACAAGCACCATCTTTAGTTGCAGGTCAAGGAATCTTCTGTGATGCCGCTTGGACAAATGAGGCAAATATGCAACATTCTCCAGCAAGTATTGATGTGATGATCCAACTTGGAGGAAATGATCATTGTCAGCAGCTACAGGTTTCGGCCATGTCTTCCCCGGTGTCATCTTCTCTCCAAGCTGAAGCATATGGCCTACTCTTGGCCACAATGATAGTAGATACTTTCAAATCTCAGAACCACAGTACCTATTTGCATCAGCAACAGTGACGAGTTCCATATTCAAAGACACAGGTCACTGGAACATAAGGCCCATTATTGCTTCTATTCAAGCGTCGCCATCTTTTATCAGTACCAGGGTATCACAGGTGTTTTAATGTTAAAGCGCATCATCAAGCAAAGTTAGCGATCAAAACTAAAAATAGGCTTGTGACTCTCTGAATGTCTCTTCAGACATATGACCTTGTACTGTGAGAGATGCTCTCGCCATGTCAAGTGAGACCTTTCACACTACTCTTTGTAAAATGTTTTTTTTGCGAGGTCTCTGTAAAATGTTGTTAATGGCATAAAAACTGTTGTTGTTCAAAAAAACGTGGCTAATTACTTCTGACAAAAACTCTGTCAACAAAGTGGATCTTTGTATGTTATTTTCGAACCAGATTTAAATTTTCGTCAACATGAAAGTTTGACAGCCAATATTCACATTAACATCGAGCAAATCAAACGAGTAAAAGTGTAGCATTGATAATAGCGTCCAAGTGAACTGATACCATGCCAAGAGGAGCCCAGTGTTATCTCAACAAATAAATTTGTTTTAATGACAAATATGTACTACATCAAGTACGCCATCCATGGGTTATATCCATTATCAAGTTTCAAGGGCAAGAAACTAATACGAAGTCGGTGTATTAAGAAGTAAAGGTTACACCACCTAAAATACAAAAAATACTACTGCAGGAAGCCTTTCTTAACAATTCTCCAAATTTCAAGAGACAGACTGCCTCCGAAATTCAGGAGACAGACAGGCAGGAAGCATCAACTTCCAAGTTACGGCTGTTCTTCGAATCTCATTTGATAACCACCAAGGAACAGATCAGTGGTTGCCTTCATTCGATTGTGCATAGGAGAATGCAGCCTGTGGAGGGGCCGCTGGGGCCAGGGGTGGAGCGCCAGAAGTTGAGCCTGCAGTTGGTGGTTGATTTGGTTGATACATCGGTGGAGGACCTGGAGGTGATGCGTTGTTGGACATGGGTGCACCTGGGGCCCCAAATGTTGGAGGTGGTAGTGTCGGAGGCCTTGGGGGAGGTGCCACCTGCATAGGCATTGAACCAGGAGGGCCCCCGTGCTGCGGCATGGTTGGAGCACCAGGATAACCTGAACATTTGTAGAAAATAGTCACTTAAGATTATCAATCACTATTTCAAATGATAAGAAATTCAGAAGTTTGAATGCTTTATTGAAAATAGAAATTCAACTCTTATAACGAACAGCTACATGAATTTTTACTTTTTTCTAAGATACAGTGAGCAGTTCCCTTGACTGCACTCAATTGTAGATTGATAGCCGTGTTTGTGGCTTTCTGTGTTTGACTGATAAGTGGCAACTGATGTTATGTGGCATTACATAATGAAACTAAAGTATAAGTGCATCATGAATAAACTGGATTGCGCCTCTAAACATTTGGTTGCAACAGTTGCGCAACAGAAGGACATGTTGATTACCACTCTGAATCACAAAGCCGCAGTAAATTGTTTACGATAAAAACACAAGAGCAGCCAGTCTGACCACTTTGGGTCTTTTGTATGCAGACTTTCCCTACATTTCTGCAAGAGGCTCTTTCCAAACTCAAGCAGGTTACAAGGCAACAGCTTTACCGCTGTGTCGTGTTTGTGGCTTTCCTTTGTCTGCAGCCAAAGAATGACAGCCGTGTTTGTGGCTTTCTGTTTTTGACTGATAAGTGGCAACTGATCTTATATGGCATCATTACATAATGAAACTAAAGAAGTATCAGTGCATCATGAATAAACTGGATGCACGCGTTTAAACATTTAACAACAGAACAACAAAAGGACATGTTGATTACCACTGAATCACAAAGGCGCAGTACATTGTTTACGCTAAAAAAAGAGCAGTCAGGTGCATGTAGCTCCTGCTTGCGCAGGGTTCGACCACTTTGGGTCTTTTGTATGCAGCCTTTCACTACATATCTGCAAGAGGCTGTTCCCGTGACCTCATGATCACAAGGCAACATCTTTACCGCTGCACCAAGCCCGCCCCCCCCCCCCCACCCCACCCTTCAATACATTGTTTACACTGTTCTAATAAAATCTATTAGAACACTGGAAATTAAAAACATTTCATCTCCTTCATGTTTTTAAATAGTGTTACGGGATAAGTGGCCTGGCCATTCATATGCCACCTTTAAATTCACATCAATTTGTAATTTATTCAGGGTCATCACAGTAATTAATACTCCCTCTGTATCAAAATATAAGATGTTTTTTGGCACTGTCAAAAAACGTCTTATGTTTTGATACGGAGGGAGTAGCAGACTCAGTCTACTTATACTATTAAGTTGATATGTTTATAAGCCCAGGATGAGATGCAGCATACAATAACTAATCTAAGTGTTGTGACCATATCTAAGACAAACTTGCACATATGAACATGGAAAAAGATCGATGCAGCATACAATAACTAATCTAAGTGTTGTGACCATATGTAAGACAAACTTACACATATGAACATGGAAAAAGATCGAATCTCTCAATCTAGGTATACTCACGTAAAATTGGAGGATCAACTACCTTAGTAATCAAAACGAAACTTTTGAATCTGGTATCTTCTTTAATATACTTGTAAAAAATGGTGGACATTTTTTTTACTTTATTCAAAAAAAATGCTTGTAGAAAGTAATTACCCCTTTTCATCTGAGTGCCTATGAAAGTTCAATCAGAGTTTCAGCTTAAGCTGTCCATTCCTATCTGAAAGTGCTACTCTGCCCCAAGCTCAAATGCACTCACCATGAACAGTAAAAATCCAAAAACATGTAAAAAGAGAAAAAAATCTGAATTTTTTTGGCGACAAACATTTCTTAGTTTTCGACCTACGTGTAAATTTCCGTGAAGGAATGACATTTGTGCTGGTCTGCTGGGAAAAACTAAAAAGGTGCTCTAAATGCTTTAAAACCTAGCCTTTTTGCAGCATCGATTGTGTTTTATTGCCCCAAATATTACAAATGTTTTTTTCTTCACAGAAATTTGTGCATAGGTAGAACATTAAGGCGTTGTTTGGATAAGAGGAATATAGAGAACGCGATCTACATAAGCCAAGGAAACTGCCTAACTGTACAAAATCTTGTTTGGCTCGTCTAACAACACCACGGATATAGAAAACTCGTTTCTCACACACCCAGAATTCCGGGTTTATGGGAAAACGAGTATTACTCGTTTTTCCACAAACGCGATTAGTACATACGGATGCAACTGCTTTTCTCCGCCCCGCCTTTTCCTCAACAAACTCAGCTGGCGCCAATTCTGCTGTTTGTGATTCCGTGCAGCCTGCTGCGCCGGGCACCACCGGTCCAATGGTAAAACGGCTGATTTCCGTGCAGCCTGCATGGCCGGCGTTGAGTGGAGGCAGGGCCTGTGAGTTGACCTGAAGCAGGACCGCTCGCCGGGTAGAGCTTGTGCGGGGCCGAAGGCGGACGAAGCGTAGGAGGCCTGGCAACCTAGCAGTTCAGAGGGGCGGACCGGCGGAGGCGCGCAGTAGCCGACGTCCGCGCGCGGCGGCGTGTACCTTGCGACCTGGGAGTCCAGCAGCAATCGGCATCAGGGGGGCGGAGGCGCGCTCTAGCCGGCGTCCGCGCGCGGAACTTCCACGGGCGAGACGAGGGAGCAGCGGTGTCACGGAGCGGGGGAAGAATCAGAGGAGAGCAGCATCTCCCCGAGCTTGGATGACGTCATGATGTGTATTTGGAGAAAGTGTGAGTCACTCACGGAGTCACGGGAGGAGAATGGGAATAGAAACAGCTACTGGTTGTGGGTATCCAAACAAGGAACTGGGCGGACCAGTTTTCCGAATTTTCTAACCAAACATAGTTTTTTACAAACTGATTATTCGCAAAAACAGACTTAAAACAGGTTTACCTAAAAATCGGCTAAAAACTCCTTTTCTATAATCCTAACGCTAATCTCCACTATCCAAACAACGCCTAAATCATGCTTGTTTCCAAAAGAAAAAAATGAGATTAGTTTCACTATTTTTCGGATTTTAATTTTTATCAGAGTGCATATGTGCTTAGTAGCCAAAAATCCATGTCCATTCCTATCTCACTATGGACAAGATTGTTCAAACCATGTAATACACGTCCAATGCTGTATCCAGCTGGTTTTGCTCTTCAGACCCACTAAGCAAAATTAATAAAATCAATAGATCAAGACGAAGACTAAATATATGCTGAAGAAGCAGAATCAAGCAATAAAGAAACTAGCCTAAATTTCTCCATCTTATAGACCTTTCTGTTTCTGTATCCTTGTGGGAATACCAACCGGTAAATTGTTATCTTCCATGCAGGAAATATATAAGCAATTGAGTTTATCTAAAGGAGCACAAACTAAAGAATTTATGGATTATCCGATTTTAATAAAAATGTCACTATAGATACAAGTAATCACGATAAAAAATGAAAACAATACTGAAGTTTACCTGGAGCCCCAGGAACTGGTAAAATAGGAGGCCTTGCAAATGGCCCACCAGGTTGTTGATGTTGAGGATAACCATGTTGCATCATGGGTGTGGGCAGAATCGGAAGACGGGGACGGGGCATATTTCCTGGATATTGAAGAAGATGTTGGTTGAAAGGAGCGCCAACTTGGAACGCTGCAGCTTGTCCCAGGTGTTCCTTTATCCTTTGATCAATCAAACTTTGAGTTTGCTGCTCCTCGAATTGCTGATAGTAGTTACGAACATTTGCCTAAAAATGTTTCACATGAAAAACAGTGTACACACAAGAATAAAAAAGATCTATGAAGGTAAAAAGAAAGAATACCTTGTGTTTATATCCAGCATTGTGTTGCTTACGGACAGATGGCTGCACCATTATTGACATGTGTGATTAGTTCAAAGAAGATAGGTATAAAAATAAGCACACCAGAGCAAAGGATAAAAGAGTACACTATCATTTCAAAACCAGTGTGGGTTGTATTTTGTAAATATCCAATTGCACTCATATGCAATAATGTTTACCTACTGAAATGAAAAAAAAAGCATATTACTGCACATCGTCTGATGATTATACATCAATAGATGATCACATAGTGCCTAATTTTATGTTTCCGGCTATGGAAAGCAGGGCACACAACTCTCCTGCAGTCCACTTTTTGGCTTGGGATGTCAGAATTCAATTAAGTGGCTCGTACAGTTAAGTCACTGACCACTGAAGAGCTTGCAAAGTCAGCAACATAATCATGCCAAATTGACATACCACCCAGCACCATACCTGGTTTGCTACTCTATAACATTCACAATAACAAAATGACACTTGATAATCTATAAAGCTGATTAGCACGATGAGCCTGGGCTCCTTGAATAGATTCACATGCTTGGCAGATCACAGTCACAGCCATCTTAAATAAACGTTACTATCTTAAAGAACATGTTAGTAGATGAAACATATCCACGGACTTGGCAACAATACTGAACCGAACACCCCAGATGAATATAATCTAAGTACTAAACAGCACTTAATACTGAATGTCTGTTCTTGAAAAAGAAACATGAATACTAATCAATATACTCCAATGACAAAGAAAGTATTTGTTGCGGTGGAAGCTAAAACTAATCTTAGGTTCGACAGAATTACTACATTCACTGGAGCAAACTAGGCTAAGCTCAAATCGCTGCACACAACCATATGGAACACTGAAATTAACTAAGCAAACTTGTACTCATTTTTGTTGTCAAGCATAATAAAAATTGATTGGAAAAAGGAAGCACTAACCGAGTCATGGGTCAGATAAGTGTCGCAGTAATCGCAATAATACCTGCAAGCCAAGAACAAGGGGATGTCAATTCAAGCAAAAGATGAACAACAAGATTCAAGCACAAAGCACCAAAGCATGGCAGGCAGTAACAAAGTCTCAATGTACACAGGAAGCACAACAAGACCTTTCATCAGTTCTCTACCGTAAGCCCCAGATTCCTATTTGACGAATCTATCTACCTACCTACTCGACCAAAGAGATAATCGGCGAAATCACAGTGCCGTCTTCTCCAATCATGGACCATGGTGGCTTTGCCCGACGTAGCAATTAGCGCGTCCTCTAGCTTTTTCCCGTTTCCCATTCAACCAAAAATCCCCCTCCTTCCTCACGGTTTTCTACAGGCCCCGAGCAACCATCGGGGGCCTAAGCTAGGGTTTCAAATTAACAGCGCCCATCGTACCGTACCATCCCCTCGAGCCACAACCACTGCACCTAGATCAAAAGAGTCAAACACTCACCGAGGCATCGCGGTGGCAAAAGACGGCGACGGCGACGTCGACGGGGGCGGCTGCGGAAGAGAATCTCGTCTCGGCAAAAGGTGTTAGAGGGGGGCCACGATTAGACGTCGCGATGCTTCCTTAAACCGTCGCGATGCTAGAAATTTCCAGTGCCCGGATTGGGCTCCAGCTCCACCAACAAGCCCGCCTACCTACTACTACACTATTACGGACGGCTTCACCAAAAGGGCCGGCCCAAGTAGCTTCCTGCAGGTTAGTTTATTTTTCTTCTCTGTTTTTCAGTAGTTCATTTTTTCTCTTTTGTTCGTATTTTTGAAAACAAAACTAAATACATATGTTCCAAAATTTAAATTCACTTAGAATTTTAAAAACCAAGAATTTCGAAAAAAACACAGTGTAAAAACGTTGTTAGACTAATTTTAAAAAATGTCAATAGCATTCAAAAATATGTCGTGAAAATTTTAAAAATGTTCACGGGTTTCAAAAAATGTATGTACAATGTAAAACAATATGCATGCAATTCAAATAAAATGTTATGTATTATTTGAAAAAGTGTACACTGCATTTTAGAAAATGTTATGAGTTTCAGAAATGTCCTTGTGACAATTTTTAGAATTTTTTGTCACTCTTTATTTATCTCACTTGTTTAGTGACTTCATTCCTAATGTCCATATTGCTTTGCTATATGTCCATATTTTCATAAAATTGCATATAGCTTGAATATGTCACTACTGCAGGATGCTACTAACGCGACACTACGATCAGAGACCCTTTGACGAAACTGTGTGCGATGCATTAATCGCAGACGGGGATGTAATAAACCGTCAAAAAAGATGCAAAACGTTTGTGATGGTGGAGACATCAAACACGATTCAGATTTTAGTTACGTGTGCGATGCGGGGCATATGGTTGATCTAGTAGAACTGTTTACGATGATGCAGAACAACAGAAACGGACCACCGTATCAATGTGTGTGCAATATACGACATACAGTTCGCTGAGATGAACTGTGCGCTATTAGGGAATGCAACAGAAACGGTCAGCCAGATCAAGATGTGTGTGATATACGGCATATAGTTCACTCGGACGAACTGTTTTCGATTAGGGAACACAACAGAAACGGTTCAACTTAACAAGATATGTGTAATATGCCACAGACAATTCACATAGATGAACTGTTTGCGATGAGCCAAAAAAACACAAACGATTCGTGTAAACAAGATGTGTGTGATACACGGCAAACAGCCCATCGGATGAACTGTTTGCGATGAGAAAATATAACACACGCGGTTACTAGAGTTAATTCATGTGTGATTATGTGTGTACTAAAAACTTTGAAAATACATACTAGTTGCTTGCGATGGCTAGGAGTATCGCACACGATGCGTGTGCGAGTATCCGTGTACGATGATTAGTAGGTTACACGTACGTTTCCTTATGTTAACACATGTTCGGTAACATGTGACAACGCATATGGTTGTCGGGTTGTGTGCTCAAGTCTTCCCGCGCTCCACAGGGGACAGAGGTGAATTGTAAAATCCCCAATCCCCTAGTCAGCTGCTAGCTATAAATAACCACATCAATGGCTGCTGATGGCGACTCGCTACTGATCCACTTGGTAGTTAGTTACACACACATACCAGCATACCCCCAACGGTCGACAGGATGGAGTTGCGCAACAGGAACGGGCGCCGGAGATCATAGTTTAGGTTAATTAATTATACCTCCAGAGCGGGATGATTCCGGCTCCGGAGATATAATTAATTAGCATAATCTAAGATCAAATAACTAAAGCTTCCCCAACCGCTAGTAGAGCGCGCGCGGAGGGACGACGCGACCCGAGTGAGACTTGGCACCTAAATGGTGAGCAGAGCATGCAGAGGGACGCAATCCGAGGGCGCCTAAATGGCAAGTAGAGCGCGCGGAGGCACACGAGCAGAGAGCTCCGCCACCGCCTAAACGAAGAGCAAGCACATGCATAATTATTGCATATAGCATATGAACATAGCCGAAAATAGTCGTCCAACAATATTATTTTCGATGACATGCATTAATATATTCTTAGTTAAATCTAAGATCAAAGTTTGGTACTACAAAATACGAAGGGGCCAATAAAGAATAAACCACAACACATATAGTACCTATAGGAACACAAACGCCCAGTATGAAAAAATGTGGGTCAAATCCTAGTTGAAAAGGGCAACAATGTCTAATTCCAGCTTATAAAAGGTACAAAAGCACAAGGATTAATTGTTCATCAGGTTTACACATAACCCGGATTGAACAAGGCAATAACATCTAATTCAACCAAAGTTTTTGGCAGTCACAATCAAATGGATCGGTCCGGTCCATAAAATCAAGATCCTGGTACAAAAGTTCTACCGGTCCATGATGACGACAAGTTGTAAATATAAGCGGAGCACGATCATAAGCCCTTAGGTCCAATCGAAACTTCTTTTTATGTTGTTCCACGTACAGTTTCGTGAGAAATTTCTTGTTGAAAAACTTAATCCTCGCGGACAATGGCGCCCTCACATTCAACATGAAGAATGTGACAAAGCTAGTGTTTGCAGTGTTGGATGCATATCCTTCCAGCGTTACTATCTTCAAACAAATGTCATGAGATATGAGAAAATCCCGGTGCTTCTTGAACCATCGATTTGTTATACCTTTTTTCTCCATGTGTTAGTGCCAAAATAGAGATGAAGATTGAAAACAGATAATGTCTAAAAAATATTATGTTGAAAGAGTGATAGCTGAACGATTAATTATAGTATATTATATATGAGCTTTTAATGTGCGTGAAATCATCACATTTATATAGAAATTCTCTAGACATGGAAAGCATTGCTGCAAGGCAATAATGATGTTGAGATCAAAACATCACATACTGATATATAAGGTCTTGGTAGAATCCACCACCACTGATAGGATGGACAAGCTCTTCATTGAGCATAGAACATAATATTAACACTGAAAGTGTACTCCAAAATGATACTTAACTTATGCGCACAAACAAAAAATGCAAATTACAAAAGTGTACATGAATAATATACAGTACCTCAATAGGTGTGGAGGCAAACACCATCTCGAACCATTTAAACGGATCACGAATTGCACCCAAGGTCTCCAGTTTAGGCGCAGAGACCACAATTATTTGCGAAGGTTTATAACAACAATCAAGGAGTGATAGAGGCAAAGGTGTCCCGTCTTTCGATGAGATGGTGGCTATCGTTTTGGAGGAAGTCAACTTTGATGATCCGATTACAAACATGCGAGGACGTCGCGCCTTAGCAATCGCTAAACCAACTTCGAGAGGTTATTGACCACGCCGAAGCACGATCAACCTGACCATGAAGGTCTGTTTCCTGCAGGCAAACGAGAGAACAAGCAAGAAACTAAGATTGCAATATGGATATTGCGAATATAAGAGGAAAGCTAAGATCGGTTTTTGTTTCGTTTTTGGGTTCGGTTAAGTTGCGGGCGTTCTTTTTAACGAACACCGTTCACCCATTAGTCACAGACAGTGAACGTTCGTTCGTTAGCATGTTCGTCAGTTTCTCTTTTTCCAGGGTTTTCGCGATTATTTTCGATCGCGATTTCTGACCCGATTTTCGTTTTAGTTTATCTTTTCGCTCGTTTATCTGAATTAGGCGATTCAAACGCCTAGATCTTCGTCTCGAAGCCCTCTTTCTGTTTAATCAACTTGAACAAAATTTTGGTGCTGTAAAATTTGACTTTAGTCCATATTAGTAATCGGATCTTGTTTCTTTCGCAGCTTGAGTTTCGTTGCTTCGTTTGATTTGATTCTTTTTGCTAACCGGAGTTCTTCAGTTGAACTTTCTGGTTAGATCTTCTTATTTGAGATTTATCCATGCATCTTTGCTTGATTGCTTATTTATGTTATTGTTTGTTTGCGATAGAACACCCGGAGTGCGAGGCGTGCTACTATGAGTCTCTAGGTTTTGCGGATCATCAGCAAGTCAAGTTCACACTTTGATCATACTCTTCATACCCAGTTTTTATGCATTAGTTTCAACCCTCAAACATTGCATGAGTAGGATCTCTTAACATGTGGGTTTGGGAAGTAGATGATGAGGTAGAACCTATTACCTGTTTTATTATCAAACCCCTGGGAGTTACTTCTACGTTATGCTTATATTGCCATGTTATGCTCGTATATGTGGATTTGGGTTTGAGTGTATCCATGACAGATGTGAGATTGTTAATTTAATGGTTTAACTTAAGGTGGCAACTTTAATACACATCTGGGTGGATTACTTGTTTTGGGCACTGGGGATATACTAGTGTTGTCCTAGGAGATCCCAGGGATATACCGTGTGATCCTCCTACGGTCCGCCACCCAGGCTCAAAGGGGTCATAAGATTTTTCATGCTATAAACTTCCGTTTGCAGCCACAAGCCATTATGGGCTCTAGTATAGTTGAGTATGTTGTGTGACCTCTTTCAGTGGTGGGCTAGCAGATGTAGAGGGAAAGTAGGTGCAGCTGTCCACCCGGAGTAAAGAGTTAACGCTTCTGAAAGACTGTGTCTTGGTCATTCGTTTCTCAAACACCATGTAGTGCGAGAAATCCAACGGAGGAGATCGAGTCTTGTGGGGAAAAGTGCACAAACCTCTGTAGAGTGCACAAACTAATCATGGTTAGCCGTGTCCCCGGTTATGGACATCTTAAGTATCTGGTTTATGGATTATCATATGGACCTCATCACTCTAATTTAATTTGTTGGGTTGATAATTACTTTTAATTGGGATTGAGTTGGAGGAACCTTCTCAATGTTGTTCAACTACCATGATAGTTAAATAAAATACATTCCTTTGTTGTAGGGAAAAATTGGCTTTACGCAAAACATATTAACCATACAGCCTCCACCAACCATATATGCATGTAGTGATAGCATTTATTCTATTCATTACTCGCCTGTGTTACATTGCCAGCATATTTCATGTGCTGACCCATTTTCGGGCTGCAACGTATCATGTTGTAGAC